ATGTTACTGCCACTTGTTCATTCAACTGTGGTTTATAAAGTTATACCCACAAAAGAAAAAGAGATCCATATTACAATCTCCATACATATAAGACATATATGCTTTTTTGCATACAAATCTCTATCTGCCAAAACACTATAAAAATCAAGAAAACATCAACTCTTGCTTCTTTTCTGCCAAAACCCTTACGTGCTTTCTTTCTTCACTAACGATGAAGAAAGTGAAATCACATTCACTGCAGTGAAGCTGAGTCCTAATGGTTAATGTCTTACGTGCTAAATGCATTATCCTTTTCAACATAGAATTAAAAGGTGATTTAGTCCTGCAAAGTTCAACCACAGGCAGAGGGATAGATTCCCAGTTGCAAAGTTCCAGCCTTCAATGATGGCTCTCCAGAAGAGCCACTGAGCGGCAGAAGAAAGCAGTGTTTGAATATACCCAGTCATCCTGGGGAGACGAAACCCCAAGTCCATCCATGACTTTGTCCTCTCTTTGCTTTCAGGGATTCCTCCCTTTGTTCAGTGCCACCACTCCTTGCCCCTCTCGGTGGGCCTCCCCGCGCCCATGGAGGCAACCCAGAGGAGGAGCATGAACCAGACTCGTCAATGACAAAAAGGAAACCGCCGATCGAGTTGCTCCGAGTTTGGTCAAAGGCATCAACACCAAGATGGCATCATCGCATCCACCTCTCGGGCCCTCCTGCAAACTCGTAGCTTTTATTCGAGCAAGAGAACCATACAGAGTAACATGAGATGGTTTAGTTCCTCTTGTAGTTAACAGAGTCTGCAACAAGTAATCAACTCTGCTCTCTCTACTTACTGCTTCGAAGCCACTCGATATGTACATTATACTTGTGGCCTGCGTTCATGCAACCTAAGATACTACGCAGTCTCCAGGATTCATATCTATAGCTTAAACAAAGTACTTAGCAAGTGTTGGGTCCGAAGCCGACGAATCCATTGGCAGCATCAAACGTTATCTGAATCCCCTCCTGTTGGATGTTGCCCATGATGGAGAGGCCGGACGAGGAGGGTGCAAACGCGAAGCAGAACGTCGCCATGTCGTCCACCGGAATCAAGAAGTTCCGGGCGGGAAGCGTTAGTATCGTGCCGCCGGCGAAGTAGAACGACACCGTCGGCACACGCACGCTCTGGTACCCGAAAAGGCTGTAGCAGGTGTCGAAGATGGACACCCCGGGCGCCCGTGGCAGGCCCGCGGTGGCCGCCCCGAAGGCGTCGCGCAGCGCCGCGTAGGCCGCGTCTGGTAGTCTGGTGACCGCGGTGCCGGTGTCCATGACCACCCCGCCCTCCCCTTCCTCGGTTAGCTGGAACACGTCCTCGAGGACCGGCAGCCGCACCCCCCCGACGCCGAGGCCCAGCAGGCGTACGTAGTAGAAGCTGGGGGCGCGCAGGTTGCGGAGCAGCGGGACCCACACGGCGCCCACCGGGACGGCCGCCGTCCGGCCGAAGACAAGCGAGCCGGTGGGCGCGTCAGAGCCGCGGCTGACGAGGCAGTAGCTGAAGGCGCCGCCGGCCTGGCCGCCGAGCTGGCCTACGAAGGACATGGGCCCCCAGCCCAGGCCCAGAACTCCGGCGGCGCCCACGAAGAGGCCGCGGTTGCTGTGGCCGCACCCGATGGCCACGTCTCGGACGGCGCTCGTCCCGAAGGTCAGCGTCTCCAGCGCCAGGGTGCCCTTCGTGGAGGATCCGTCGCCGTAAGAGACGGCATACCGGCAGTCGCCCGCATGGCACCCGGCCGCCGCCGACGCGCCGGAGAGGAGGAGGCCGCAGATGGGAGAGCCGCACGCGACGCCCGCGAAGGACGCCGACTCCGCCGGGTCGAACACCGGCTCAGACTGGGCATAACACTGCGAGCACGGCCGGCATTGGATCCACACGATGTCGCTGCCGGAGTCGACGACCAAGTACTGGTCCCGCGGCGGCACGCCGACCCCGACGCGGACGAAGTACTCCCCGCTGCCTTCTTCCAAGCCGGAAACCACCTCGGAACCAAAGTCGTCCACATGGTATCTGGCGGTGGATAGGCGGCGCGTAAGGGTGACCACCCGCCGGGAGTCCCTCTCCAAGAGGCGGTCGAGGCGGTGACGATGGCCAGAGAAGTTACGGCCGGGGAGCGCGTCGCGGTGGAACAAGCTCAACGACAGCCTGTTATGGCCGTGGCCGAGTGGGGCGAGCTTCGCGGGACGGTGGCGGGCGCCGAAGGCGAGGTCGTGGGGTTTCACGACGTGAAAGTCGAGTGCGAGAGCCGCAAAGGGAGGCAAGAATAGTAGTTGGAGGACGAAGAAGGATGTCACCACCATCTCTTCCTGTTTAATGTAAGGAGGTGTCTGTGCGAGGAATGAGACTCCAAACGAGAGCGGCTTTTATGCTGTGTTAGTATGTGGGAGTGTGGAGGGATGGGTGGCTTCGAGGTTTGGATTCGGTGTGTGTCTAATGGTTTGGGCTTTGCAGTTTCCAACTCGATTTGATGTGTTGTAGCTTTCACTTGGACTGCTTTTTGGCAAAAGCGGAGGATGGATGAGTGTTGGGTCGCTTAAAGCTGTGTGACACACCTACATATGTAATCTTCTTCGTCTTCAACCATCCCTCGATAGGAATCTACACCGGCAATTTTGTTGCACATCTTTGACATTGTTTGTGATGACAGAGGGGTTATACCTTTAGTGATGTTACGGAGTTAGACCATGTCAAGGCGCCAAATCACTTGAACCGAGCAGGTTGAGCACGGTGAGGAGACAAAGCGAAGGACCACAGTCTGCTTTCCTCCTCTAGGATGTACACCACCTGTATGTGGAAAGGCCAATTAATGGCTTCACACTCAGCACGCTCTCATGCAAACAGACAGACGACATAAAGAAATACCATGCAAGCATTATGAGACGTGTGCATCAATCAGCAAGAAGATGGGACTTCAAAATTCAACATTATTCATGTCACATAAAAAGAATAATGTTTCCCTTGAGAGACTTAAAAATAGAACCAGCAACAAGTCATGCAGGATTGATGAAATGTGTGGGATAATGAAATGGCTTCATACCATGCAAGCATTATGAAATGTGTGCATCAATCAATCAGCAAGAACATGGGCTTAAAATTAAACATTATTCATGTCACATAAAAAAGAACCAGCAGCAACAAGACATGCATGCAGGAGGATTGATGTAGGAGAACTGGAAGTTTACAATGCATTTTTATTAGGAGTGATGTAGGAGAACAGTGTGCTTGTTGTTTTAATAAGATGATGGGCATGACAGTGATGAAGCTAGAAATGCATGCTTCATTTGTTTACTAGTGAAAACAACTCATGCTGACATTAAACAATTCAATCTTTTTAGGTAAACGAGTGACTTTGGTGGTTAAAAAGCCTAGATCACAAACCTGTGACTGGGTTGGCACCTGAATGATGATTCTTGTTGTTGTCCCTTCCTTATCTGTTGTTTATTTGAAGCTAGGATGAGTGTAGCAGCCACTGTGGAAGTGGGAGGAGTTGGGAGTGATTGAGCACCAAGACTGAATATATGTGAATCCACACAGCAGCAGCAGCAGCAGCAGCATTATTAGCTGCATCATTGTAAAGGCTATCTCCTTTATTAGTTCCTGCAATTGCCCACGTTTGCTCACAAGTCCCACAGCAATGGAACAGCCACTGCCAACTTCATCATACATTTTTCCTTTGGACAAATATAACATTCAAAATCAAAGTAACTTCCTTAAGCAAAAAGAGCGAAGCAATTATATAACCATGTTGCGTGAAATAATTCACCTGCATGCATACTTGGTGAAGTATCTGGTAGAGGAGATACTGAGCACAGCAAACCCTCTTCCTTGTTCCCAAGGAAAAATATCACAATGGAAACTTTAGAAAGCTGCTTTCACATTAATAGGAGAAAAGAGTTAAATCTTGAAAGCAACTTAATTAACCAAAATAGATTACATTAGTCACCCAACACAACCATCAACACTAAACAACTGAGAGCACAAAGGATACGACAAGAACAAGATCTAGTGCCACAAGAAAAATGATCACAAAGTGGAGATGTCACCAAGGAGAAGAATGGAGATTGGGAGGCAGTGGGCTGTGCAACAACACTCCAATAATTGAGGCATTCGAACAAGAGAGAGAGAGAGAGAGCAGCATTTAGTTTTAAACAAGTACAAACTTATCTTCTTGTAAGAGACAGATGTCTCATGAACTAATGCTATCTTACAGCTACTGCTATGCCTATTACCTACACGCTTAAAAAAGATCAGTGATGGAACTTTTGGTTTAGAAGCAGATAGGAGCACCAAGTCTTTGTCAGATGAATCTTTGAGGATCTTTGGAGGAGAATGATGATTAATAAAAGGTTGAGGATGGACAAGTAGCAACCTATAAATGTGTTGCTAAGGAACAAGATTTGACATAGTTAATATAGCCAACAAAAGATTTATGTAGTGAACAATTTAGCATCTTTTTCCTTTCTGGAAGAATGATATTTATGATTGTTTTAATGACATAGGATGATGAGAAAGATGTTGATAAAAAAAGCCTCAGGAATAGCAATTTTTTGAGAACCTGTTTTTCCTAACATGAGAATTCAATTAAAAATGAAATGAATTATTAAAGCATCGGCTTCCAAAGAGATTCAATGGGTCAAGCATAACAATCAACAGCAAGAATTCAAATTCTAGGGCAACAAGTAGATCTGACCTAGAGTGAAGAGCAAAAAAGGTATAAAAAATAAAAAATAAAAGAAAAGGTTGACCTGCTTCTTGTGATTGTGTATGGCAACAATGTTCTGCAAAGAATACCTGACATCAACAAATAACTGTAGATAAACAGCAGCTGCATCGTAACAATGTACATTTAAATAAGCCATGAATTGATTTGGGTGTTGTACAAAGTAATTCCTTCAACACAGCCACGAGCACAGGGTTTTAGGACCAGTGACTTGCTGGACTGTCAAACCAATTGGGAGATCTGGTGATGTACATATAAGATAACTGCACCTTATCTCAACAAGGCCTCACATGGATGCAAAAGGAAAGCAGATATTGCAAGATCAGTTCATGATGACTGCAATAGTTCATTGGCTGTTCAACCTTCTTTTGTTTTGTTTGCCAACCGAATCTAGAACCTCGGACTACTTCTCCATCGTCCAAAATGCAGTTGAAGCAGAGATACTCATTTACATCACTCCATTACATGGAAAGCTTGGCAGTTGAGAAACAAAGATAGATCTCTACTCTTACTTAACTTCACCCAAGTATACTTCCAATTTGACACAACCTAGCAGTAAGCGAGTTTCTAAAGTGAGGAAATCTCTTTAATTTTGCTGATCTGCAGAAATCTCATAATTTTTTATTGCAAACAAGATAGTTTACTCGAAATGGAAAACTTGCACTATTCAATTTATCATCATTGGCTTGATCCACAGTCTTGCACATACTATTCAATACACTTATTCGACAAAATGAAAATGTTCTAGCTAACAAACTCTTGCTGCAATATCAGCAAGCACAATATTCTCAGCTATAACTGGTATTACATTTTTTTCTACAAAAAGAAAAAGAGTAAATAATACAATTGCAAAGTATCAGAAAAGCTGAAGAATAAAGCCCAACTGATGGAACATGATCTCCACCTCATGCTTGTTGTTTCGGGTGAACAAATCGAGTATACTTTCAGATTGAATCAAAAATACCAATTAAATTCATGTTAAAAGACATTATAATAGGAGCAAAATACTACTCCACTGTGATATAAAACCTGAAAAGAATGAGGATCCATCCAATTGGAGCTCCAACAAGCTAGAAACAAAGTGGGATTGCGGTCCAAGAACCTGGCTAAAGGCGGATTGAAGAATGTTGCAAGTTGATAAATCATTATAGAGATCTTGATCTGTTGCATCTGAATCCCTGCTTCAGAAGAAGCACTCAATACACTTAAAGGTACAGCACTCAGTAGGCAAAGTGTACCAGCATTTTGAAAATTAGTTAAATCCTAGAGATAATCAGAATTTTTTTACTGAAGGTGCTCCATATGGGGAAAGGCAACGTACTATAGAAAAGTAGCACAGGAAAAAAAATACAAGATTGTACCAGATCTATAGTTGAACATGTAGGTCAAACCTTCACCATGTGGGCTTCCGCCAATGAAGAGCTAAGGTCTTCTCTTGACTGAGATCTCCGGCTAGAAAGTGTTGCCTGGCCCCGGTGAGGAGGTCGGAAGGATCCAGCTCCATTGCCAAACTGCATTTGGCCTACAATACCAGATGAATGACTATGAGATGCAACCAAGGGATGCACAGAAGATTCACCAAGCTGTATGCTGCTGCCTCCCAAGACATGTCCCATGCTAAATGGCTGCTGCTCAGAACCACCAATGGTAGGACTGAGTGGTGTTTTTATCCTTCCATCACCTATAACATTAAAGAAAATGAATTGAAGACTCCAAATTCTATTTTTCGTGCTTTGTCATGAAAGACTAGCTATGTTCCAATAAATTATGAATTAACCAAATTTGACCAATCCGGTTATGCAGCTAAACAAAATGCTGAACATTTTGAACTTAAAAGGAGACAATTGGTTATGAGATCATCCCTAAATTTGCATCAAATTAGTAACATTGATTAATCAAGCTCACGAAGCCACTGACATGATAAGTCAATAGTTTAAATAGGCATCCGCAGAAAGATGCAATTGGAATCTTCATGCAGCCTGACAATCTAGAAGTAATTGCTTACTGGTCTCTAACAATGCAAAAGCTAATAGAAACAGATATAACAGCAAGTCACATGGTCCAATGGATTGACTTCAAAGGCACAGAAAAATTTTGTTCAGAACGCATAATATTACATTCTTTAAAAAAAAGGCAGAAGATCAAAATAGATCCATGTTTCGTAACTTGTACACCAACCAACATTAAGTATTAGTTGTCGGGATAATTACACCACAATCATTGTTCATTTTAAAATAATCCGTCACTCGGGTTCCAAAATAAATGAGATAGAAAACAGTGTAATATCTATTCTACAAAGTGGCAAGCAAGGAAAACTATGTCATGGATATAGTCAAGAGAAGCCAACATCATATCTAGATTATGAACAGCTAAAAGTAACTATGCTCCAGATAGATAAAAAAGGTGACTTTTGTGGCTCAAGTAAAGACAACCAAAATTACCAACAATAGAGAAGCTTACCTGAGACAATAGGACTCCACCGCTGGAACTTGAAAGGAGAAGGGATATTAAGAACAGAGTTTGTCACACTGTTATGCCTGAAAAGTGGGAGAAATGATCTTCGAGAAAATCTTGGCATCCAATTGCTAACACATGATAGTGCACAACAAAGTAGAATAAGTGAGATCAAAAGTACTGCTAGAAGAATAGCTGGATGAATGTCTGTTTGTACTATCTTATAGGCTTGTGGTTCAACCTTACTGGACAATGTTTGTCCAGCCTCCAATATGGCTACACCCAGTGTCCAAGTAATACTACCAGAACCAACAATCACCTGACTATCTTTAATTTGCAGCCCATTTCTCAAAAGAGATGCAACATAAGGAGCCCTAAAGCAATATTGTTCAATAAAAGGTTGTGGTGCAACACTATTCTTAGCAACTTGCCATGTTTTACCACAAAATTCCTGGCCCCTTTTTAGTACATCTCTAAGAGAAGCCTCAGAAGACAAGTTAAAAAATCGAAAAACCACATAGAAACCTGACATGGCATAAAATTTCCCACGTGGATGAGGCAAACCATCACTGAGAGCACAAGGTTTATGTTTACAGTCAACTCCAGAACTAAAGTTAGACCATGCAGACAGATCAACTGTTAATTTTGCAAGTGCACTACATTCCTCCCATTGAGGAGCACCAAGTAGTTCAACAATTGTCCCAGTCCGCCGTTTGCTCATGGTTTTACCTCCGATCAAAGGGCTTCCTTCTAGGTTAACTGAAGTGCAACGAGAACAGGCATATTCCTCCATATAGCCAGTATTTAAGCAAGGATGTTTAAGCTGCAATTTCTTCTCGTTAATAAAATCAGCTGATGTACCCACAAGTTTTCTGAAGAGATGGGCGACAGATTTGTCAAATGCATCATTTAATCCATATCCTGACAGAGAATAAGCACTAAGATGGTGACTAGCAGATGAAATTCTCAAATTTATACTTGTATCATCATGTATGGGTGTCTCTGTCTCAAAAGTAACTTGCAATGATGAACCACCTAGATCAAGTGAACCATATGTTTTTCCAGCTGGCAAGGAACCTAATAAACCCATATGGTAGTTAAGAGCTATCCACCCATAATACGCTTCCTCCATGCCTGATATAATCTTGACCCAATCTCTCCTGCATAAAAATGATGAATTCTTCAAAATGGTCCATGCCTTGTCCAGAAGCCACTCTGAATCAGAACTAGGTAACCTGCGAACTCCAGCTGTAGCATATAGAAACAGAGATGTACCTTTGTGAGCATGTTTTGGTATTTGTTTCTCAGCCCACTGCAGCAGTGGCTGCAAAGAACCCCTTAAGCCAGATTCATTATGAACAAGCTTATCAAAACCAGGCTCTGTTTCCATACGGTGATAAGCTCGGCCACTCTGTGCACTAGGATTCCTTTGAGGGCCTTCAGGTAAAGATTTTAATGCAATAGGAAAATTTTGAATGGCATCATTTTGGTCAATAGACCACTTATAAACATAAACCCGAGTGCCAGTACTACCACTATCAAGTATAATGTAATACTGAGATGCTTCACGTGACAAAAATGTATGGAGGTATACAGAACATAGCAAGATCAATAAGAACAAAAATAGCAATGCAATAACACCTATAGTTGCCCGAACACATTCCTCCCGTTTAGTTGGAGTTGTTGGGGAGGACTTCTCCTTTGAAAAGCTTGATGCTACACGTTCCTTTTGAAGAGCACAAAGAGGCTCTGCATGTCCATAATTCCTATAATTTTCAAGGTCATCCGCCTCCCTTGAATTCAGTTTAGAGAATGATTTCAGATCTTGGAGAGACAATGAAAGCCGCATGATGTTTTCCCCTTCAAGAGATCGAGCAATATAGTATGACTTGTTTTAGCAGGACAATGGATGCAGTACTGCAGTGCTGTTAAATATTATTTGGCTCCAGTTTTGTCACCACCACCAGAAAAATCTGAGGAAGCAATTTGGAGCTTCACCATAAATGATTACATACCTGAAAATGTACTTGTTATACATTACTATGATTTTCAAAATAAAAAATTCGATCAATAAGAACAAGATAAAAGCAAGCATCAAATCAGAAGCCATCGCTTGACACAGCCAACTGACAAAATAATTTCTAATTCAGAATAACAATGCACTGTTTTTCTTAGACATGTAGAAATAGTTCTTTCTTACCTAAATGGCATCTTTGACTACTTGTAACCGAAACTTAAGTGGGTCAGACAGGTATAATACACAAGCAACCCGACCAATTGTCATCTAAGAATGCAAATGAATCAGGAACCAGTGAATTTCATTCTACCTGTTTTCCAACCCAATTAGCCAAAGATATCCCAAACCTCACTCGAGTACACAAACCACTCGCGAAACCAAATAACAAGTATACTCATCCAGCTTAAGAGGATCAGATAAGCACAAAACCTAAACAATTGTCATCCCTGTCATCTTATATGAAAATTTAATCAAAATTAGGTAGATCTGATCAAGCTTAATCAGAAGTGACCAGTTTTGATCAATATAATGCAATTTGATAGGCTCAAATAAGGGGAAAAGTGAAATGAGGGCACAAGAGGAAGGGGAAGTAGGAAAAGAAGAGAGAAATCGAGATGAAAAAAATCTAGAAAAAAAACTTAATAATTATGATTATGAAACAAAGGAGATATTGCTACTAATGTGTTTGTTATTGGCCATCACCATCATATTTGTGGTCTACCACCGTTTTTGTAATGTCCATCATCTACCATGGGTACACAGAAAGGAAAGCATATCGAATGAGAGAAAAATATCCCTTACTATTAATGCAATAGTAATATACTGCATTAATATGCATACACATTATAACTAATTTTTATTATATAAATAATTTATTTCATTATGTATCGCCCCCCCCCCCCCCCCCCCCTTTTTTTTTTTTTTAATCTTTTATGTTTCAATTTCATCCTCCTCCTCCCACACTAAGTGCGACAACATTAGAGTAACTCTACACAGCAGATCTAACGGACAAGAAGTAATTGAGAGGTGACCAAAAACCAAAGTTTGGTCACAAATCTAGCACAAGAGGTGCAATGATGATTTTCGATTTATCCAAGTACCTTGGGGATCTATATTTGGAAGGATCTCGAGGGAGCACTGGAGATCGGTGGCGGCGGCGAAGGCAACTCGGAAATGGCGGAGATCCACGGCAGTGGCGCAGAGATCAAGTGAGGAGGTGCGATGGGAGGAGTGGGCAGAGATCGGAGAGGGAGAGCCGATCAGAGGAGAGGGCGGAATTACACCCAATCTGTAGGGAGGCGGCGATCGAAGAACTGATAGAGACGAGATCGGCCGGGGAGCAATCGCCCCGTGAAGTTGGTAGAGATGCGGATTTGGAGAGAGAGAGAGAGAGAGAGAGAGAACGGGTCCCAGAAGACATGTTTTTATTACGACTTATTTTAATTTTTCGAGTAACCTTTTTTTTCCACACGCAATTTCCACACCCCGCCAAACTATGTGACAACGATGGATTGGGTCAACCAATTAGTTACTGTGTTTGACCGGGTGCCTCGGCACGCGGGTGCACGAAGTGACACGTCCTTTTTTTAATTTAAACCCAAAGAGACCCATTTCTCCACTCGGGCTAAGCCAACGGCTCTTTTTTGGGCTCTACGCGGATCATAATCCACATTGAACTCGACCATGAACCATCTCGTGGGATCCGATTGCTACTAGACTCGATGGATCGGATCTGACCTCAGACCGAATTGGATCCTACCGGCGTCGTACGAAGTAGATCGTAATCAAATTACATAAGAGTTCGCCGTGTTTGATATCTGTTTAGAATCGGATGGATCCTAATTTTAATATGATAATATTTTAATTTGCATAAGCAAAATATGGATTCAGAAAATATAATCTTCAAAATTACAGCCTTCAAAACTAACTGTTTCTTGAGTTCAACATGGGAGGCAATCAGTTGCCAAAGAAAGCCAAAACCATCTAACTAATTTAAATTTACACAAAGGAGAATCAAATCTTTCCTTAGGCCTCATTTTCTTCTTCTACCTCTTCTTCTTCCTTGGATGATCCTTCTTTTTCCTATCAAATGAAAGAAGCAATAAGTTGGCAATCCAGTAAAAAGAAACAAAAAAAAAACATGTTAATGCATATTGCATGGAATGTGATAGAACTAAAGTTGATGAACAGTCTAATCACCTCTTCCTCATCTTCCTGATCGTGTTTCTCTACAGCTTTTGCATACTCTTCTTTGAGTTCTGCTGCTCGTTCGATGTAAGGTTTCTTTTCCTGATTTCAGACAATAAGAATTTAAGTATAAGTCCATCCACGAATAATATCACATATAACTCAAAAGACGCCACAAACACTCACTTCATCTGACATGGTCTTCCACTTCTCACCGCCTTCCTTAGACACCTGTTTCAGCCCAGTAAAAATGGCAGCAAGGGGAAACAAAATAAATCAAAGAACCTCCTTTGGGAAACAAACATTAAAAATGATACACACTAAGATGATTGCTTTTTACCACAGCTACACTCTTGTTGTCAGGATTAGCCTCCTTGAATGTCTTCCTAAAATCTTCCCTAAAGTTTCAAAACAGAGGCTTGAATTAATCAATGTTCAACAAGTGGAGGGGGGAAAAAAAAAGGACCATTTTTTCCAGTGAAGTGCTTCAAATGCATAAAATGGTTCAAGTGATACATTGAAACACTTACATAAAGAGGAAGAAGGCAGTGGCTGGTCGCTTGGGGGCACTGGAGTCTTTGGACTTCTTCCCCTTCTTTGCCTTCCTCTCCTTACCTTCAGAGGAAACCGCCCTTTTTCTGCAATTACAAAGAATTGGAACGTGAAGAAGCAAAACTAAATGAGGATGTACTAATCGACTGAGGGTATCGTGTATAAGAATTTACTTCTCCACGGGCTTCTTGGCCTCGACTGCTTTCTCGACAACCTGAGACTCTGTTGTGGCAAACGCAAACAGAAAAGGGCATAAGAGATCATACATAAAATTCTAAATCATCAATCACTGGTAGGCGAAAGATACTACCAAGAGTCATCCTGATTTTGGAATCAAGGCTGCAGCTATGCATGTCGATGAGGACGACAGCAACATCCTTTTTGCATGCCTCACTTCGATTGAATCACAGACAAAAGGTAAATTTTGATGCCGTTGACGAAGAGGTTAGATGGTGTCAGAATCCAAATACAGCAGAAGAGGAAGTAAGGGATCATACCATCTGGTGAAGGCGCTCCCGTCCCTTGCGCGCTTCAGTGTGCTGGCAGTCTCCGCCTCCACCCTCTTCCGCGGTCTCGGAGGGTTGGACCTTGATGAACTCCTTCCCATTGATAGACCACGCGAGAGAGAGCGATCGAGAGAGGGATTGGAAATGAAGGGGCGAGAGCAAGATTGGAGAGAACGAGAAGAAGGGGCAATATAAAGGGGGAGTTAAGCGGGAGGCGAGAGGAGTTCGAGATTCGCGCGCTGATTTCGTTTCGAGTGTTCGCGGGAGAAGGGCGGAAATTTTAGCGGCACGGGTCGTGGAATTGGGTTGATTCGAGTTTTGCTTAGCTCTTTCTTGGCCGTCGATTGTCGCATCGGACGGCTGAAGTGAATGTGAATGCCGCGAAGCAAATCGAACTGAGCGCGCGCGCTGTAACTCGATTAGACACCCGGTCGTACCCGGTCCATCACATGGTAAACCAATTAGATATACCCGGTCCAATCAGATACCTTAGCATGGTTTGATGAAGGCCGTGAAGCGCATGCTCTCAAAGGGGTCGGTCTTTTCTTCCCGTCGATGAAACACCAAATCGACGAACAAGCATCCCAAACTCGACGAGGAGACATCCGGAGCATGTAAGTGTTATTGTAGACCCTCCTCCTCTTCCTTTGATCAAACTCTTCTTTCTTGATAGTTGTATTCCTGCATCTCGATTACATATGGTAGCGATCTCATGACATTGATCGTAGGCGAATGAATGCCTTCAAGAACCAACCAAGGCATATTGATTCCCGCAGTCACAACCCCAGATTAGCCCTAAATCTTGCGATGAAAATTTCCGGCTGCTAGTTCGTAGTTGATGACCGATATGCTGCATCTTGTTGTGCTTGAAGGTAAGGTTCAGGATGTTTCTTTTATTCTCTTCATTTTAGGGTTTTCTTATTATCTTACATAGATCGGCTGATTATAATCGCTTCGGTTAAAATTTGTTTCGAGCACTTGATCGGAAGACGAAAGATGAAATCCTTGTCATATTTCACCATTCATATGTCCTCTTGAAGTCCAACGTTTCCCGCAATCAGTGCCTGGGTATGTAGAACTGGGTCTTTTGTGGTACTTTTTATGGAAAGCACGTAATTGAATTCAACACGATAATTAGATTGTTCTACAAATATATCTTTGATTTCTTTACCACATATTTTTGGGAACCGTCGTCTATTGACATGACTTCAAGGCCCGCTGTTTTCCCTCTTTCCTTAGGAGGAGGAGTCTTGTCTATTTATTGTCCAGTTGCATCCAAGCATTCATAAACTTCCAAAGATTTCGATCCAGTAAATTATTTGTGCATCATTTCTCCGATTGGTATATGATTTTGTCATCAGAATCAATACATTAACCAGATGGAACCTTCCTTCATCAGTTTAACAACAGCCATAAAACTTTGTCATTATGGTAAAATAAATACGATGCATGCTGATTAGGCTTGCAGTAACTTTGTGTTGTTAATATCCAACATTTATTCTTCTGTTGATAGAAGCCAACAACAGTACCTTTGTTTCATTTGACGAGACCCAGATTGAGGATCCCCCATGAAGTCTGGGGCCATGACCTCTCCTCTGCCTTTGTCAGCAGCACTCTCCCCCAAGCCACCCACCCCTCCCAAGACATCCTCTTGTCCCAGCTGCTCCCCCACTCCAGTATCAGCTTCAGCCCCTTCTCCGCCTCCCACTCGGCCTCCTCATACTTGCCCAGGTTCAGATACACCTGCCCCAGCACCAGGTGAGGCTCCCCCACGAATGGGTTCTTCTCACAGCTTTCAATTAGTAGCTTCTTCACCCTCTCCCACCCCTGCTCCTCCTCTCCGCCAGAACACACAGCTTCCCAGTACAAGTCCCTTGCCAGAATCTGCTCCTTTGCGGCCAGAAGCTTGGTGCAGTTGTCGAACACCGGCGGGATGACCAGCTCAATCTCTTCGTCCCTTTCGCTGCTACACAGAGCTTCTCCGCCTTGCCCTGCTCTTTTCCTCTCCTCCATGTAGATCTCCTCCTCTCTGGCTATGAGCGAATACAAGGCGCCCATCTTGGAGATGGAGTTGAGCCACAGGCCTGGCTTCCCTTGGCCCGGCCACAGCGTCGACCAGCTGTTCCCGTGGAAGGTCAGCCGGCCGTCGTCGTTGTCGAAGAGCTTGTCTTGGAAGTCGAATAGCTGGTCGGCGAAGTCGGCCATGGTCATCAGGAGGAAAGTGGCCACCAGCCTTCGCGACAGCGGCACGTCCTCCCCGGTCCTTATGTGCCTGACCTTTATCCCTTCTGGCGGGAGAAGCGTGCGGAGCTTTGCCCGCCACGGTTCGGTGGGGTCGGAGGCGCCGCCCTCCCTGGCCTGGCGGAGGGAGTCCTCGGAGAGCGCGAGGTGGTTGGCGAGATCGGCGTCGGAGTAGTGGAAGAGGAGGTCGTCGTGGATGAGCGGCTGGCGTGGAACGATGCAGAAGAGGTGGATGAGGCGTTCGGCGGGGATGCCGACGAGGTCGCGGACGCGGTCGCGGCCGGTGCCGGGGTCGAAGATGGCGAGGTTGACGTAGGAATTGGAGTAAGCGGAGTGGAAGAGGCCGCAGCGGGCGACGGCGTCGGGGACGCACCAGAGCTTGAGAGCACGGTAGACGTCGGAAAGGTGAGCAAGGAAGGTGCTGTGCTTGTGCCAGCACTCACCGGCGCCGACAGAGCGGAGGACTGCGAGGAGGGAGGGGAGGGAAGGGTCGACGCGCTCGAGCTCGCCGCGCAGGAACGGGCGGGCGGCGTGGAGCAGAGCAGGCAATTCCCGCTTGGGTTGGGAGGAGGAAGAGTGCGAGTTGCCGGACGGCATGATTGGGGAGCCCGTACCAACCGATCTTCTGGTGGGATGGATGGAGGATGAGCGTACCCCCAAAGTAAACGCTAGGGGCTGCGGAGACGAGAGATAGAGAGAGAGAGAGAGAGAGAGAGAGAGGAGGGGGATAAGGACGAGAGGAGGGAGTCGAAACTGTCGGTGTTATTCGTTCCAATCTGTTTGCAGCACGTTAGCGAGATTCGTTCCCAGCTGTGCCCGCATGAAACGGAATCGCCACATGTCCTCTCAACGAATGCACTCGCGGCTACAACAGACGACATTAAAAATTAGTATTTACCACCGCAAATTGGTATTTATATGTATATATATTCTTGTAAAATTCAAATTTATAGATATAATACTGTTTAATATTAAATCAGTTGGCCATTGAATCGATGAAGATAATAAAAGGCATAAGATGATGTTAAGTTAGAAATTTGATTGTTCTAATTGGATGATGGCTTTTATTACATGTTTATTTTTTTTTGTTGATGTCTTAAGGGGAGTTTTTACGATGAGGTTTTAAGATTATTGCATGCACAAATGTGCATTGATGTCGATAATAGTTTTATATATTTCTTAATCTAAGTATAATTATATTATATTGAATTTGGAAAACATACGATAGATATGATATAATCGATAATGTTTGAGGAGAATTATCATATTAGTCACATATGGTAAAAGTATTGGAGATACCATATTCAAGTGTGGTATTCAAGTGAAAATATGATAGACATGATTTTATTGAGATGTCGGTTCTCTAGTAATTTGATAATGACTTAGTTTGACGTTCTCTCCAATGTTGTCGGGGTAAAAAAAAAATTCGGATTTTGATTAAAAATTAATAAAAATATTTAAATAACGAAATATAAAGATAAAAATTTAAAATATAATAATTATTTTATGGTAAAATCTCATCTTTATGTGCAAGATTAATGGAGATTTTTAGTTCAAGATTCAATTGGTATTCTCTCTCTTATGAGTGTGATTACAGCCAAATGATAGACACATATATAAACAAGTGGACAAATTATAATGATATCTTGATTCTTAATTGATCAGGGATTTAGGACTCTTATTTATAGAGCCTAGAAATACCTCAGAGGTTACCATAAAAAGGGTATAGTCCAAAATGTAAATATAAAAAAAAAATTAAAAATTAAAAATTAAATCGAATAAAAGTAAGGTTATGGTCGGAGACATTTTGCCCGCCAGTATCATTGTTGATGGTGTAGAAGTCGTCGTCTTCTCAAACTATGGCATCAAAGACATAATTGCATGAAAAGGTGTTCTTCTACTGATAGCTTTATATGAGTTTAGGCGATTTGGACCTTTTTCTTCATCAATCTTTCACCCACTCTTGATGACCATATCAAAACCATGTTCTCTCATTTCTTAGATGATTCTCATTAATGAATAATTTTGAAGACGTGAAGGCGTCAGCTATCTTTATGTTGAATCCGTCCATGTCAATTTAAGAAGCTGGACTTTCGTGTCAGCCTTACCCAATTATCGTGCAGGCCATCATCTTATTTTTGTACTAATGGGTCCCGCAAAATGATGCGATCAACTAAAAGACAGGGTTAGGTATGCAGGGGCGGCTACGGTTCACGTGTTACCCTTGCTTCCCGCTTGACCTTGGATATGTTATGCTTCCATCATTAGCATCGCGGAGGCCCGTTTTGGCTTCCTTAGCCGATGGTTTAACATCAAGTTAGAGCGGTATTATATATATACATATATATATATATATATATATATATATATATATATATATATATATACATATATATATATATACATATATATATATATACATATATATATATATACATATATATATATTTATATATATATACAACTATTTGCTGTTGATTCGGAACCATCCGACGATTTTTTCTATGTTTGTCTCAGTTCAATTTTAATTAAATATTTATTTGTCTAACTTTTAGGGTATGAAATTTTATAAGATTATATCGATTGTGTTCTAATGAATGTTCCTTCGAATGTTAACTTGATCGAAGATTTGACGGATTTAGATGAAGCTTGGGAGCAATGTTTAAGAGTGATGAAGAATACACTTGGAAAGTTTTGGGCTCTCTAGATCATTATTTGTGTGATCGACATTGATCTGGGGGGAATTGGATGTCTGTTCTAGGCTTAATCACGTTTGTGTTACATCAAATATGAGAGACAATCATGCCTTATTGATTCATTTGATCTTATCATTGTGTTCTAGCTATTCGTTAGGCATGATCATATGAGGTATCGGTGACATATTGCTTATGTTGATCAATGAGATATTTCTTCATATCTAACGTGGTGGTGACAATTATCATACAATAAGTATATCATTAGTCACTGTTGGTGAACAAATATGCTGTGGCTGATGAGTCAGCACGGTTTGGTCCAAGGGTTAATGTCGGGAGTCTTTTGTTGACTGAGTTGGATGTCGAGGTCGATCGGACCCTCATGACAGGGTGCTGATCAGCATTCTTTGGTGTGTTGATCCAAACGCTATGTATGTCGTGCTGCGTCTCTTTTTCTCCGGGGTGGTTGGTAGCTTGTCTTCGTGAGATTGTCATATTTTCCTATAAAAATGACCCTCGTCGGGATCTCCCGACGAGGCCCCTCCGACGAGCAAGTCAGTAGAGTGATCAATTGATTTTTTTCCTCCCCCCCCTCTTTTCTTGGATTAGGTCGGGGTTATTTATACTTGCATGCGGGAATTGGTCAGGCATTGGTTCGGCATGGCCGTTGACTCTGGGGGCGGAACAACTTTTCTGACGATGTGACGTCTTCGGGGGTACTTGAGCGGCGTTAGACGACACCGCCCCTAGCCCTTGGAGTGGTCATGTTGCATAGTTATATCGCTGGAGCTTGACGTGGTATGCACCATGCGGTTCTGGAGGTGTACGATGTTGAATCGATCTGTAGCGTTTGTCGGTGGTTCACATAGGACCAAAATATACCAGTTACATTCTTTGGTTATTCACTTGTTGGATAAACAAAGTCAATTAACCCCACATATTATACAAGCAATTATCAGATCATAAATATATCATTAGTTACATTCCTTAGTTATTTACTTGTTGGATAAATAAAGTCAATTAGCCCCACATATTATAAGATAATTATCATATCATAAGTATATCATTAGTTATATTCCTTGGTTATCTACTTGTATAATATATATATATATATATATATATATATGATTCTTTTAGCATCTACGACGTGTTTCTTTCTAAAGCCAAACAAAGACACGACATAAGTTTCTAACAGCCAAAGAATCAAACATGCTATAGAAATCCTATAAACTTTTCCGCTAAATGAACATGATGTGGCATTCGATCATGATCTGATGATACCATGATACAAAGAAAGGAACAATATTGAACCGCTCACCGTCCATTTCAGATGAAGACGAAGGAGAAGAAAAGGTGGAACTCAACGCTTTAGCTTAAACTGGCAGCTGTTGGACCTGACGCTGATATCGTCGCTGGTGCTCAAACTGTTCACCACCAGATCGCACCTGATTTGGAAGGTCATCTTCCACAGCTTCATCTTCCCAACCCTCACGCTCACCGGCACGTCGCCTCGAACGGTTAATGGTATCTTCCCCGTCTGCTGCTGCTGCTGCAGCAGTTCCGCCAGCAGCTCACTCCCCATCCGACGGTCATGTCGCTGCGGACGGAAAAGCCGGAGACGCGGAGGCGGTCGACGGAGTACTTGGGGATCTTGGGGTCGAACACCACGTAGAGAACACCGGCGGTGGCGGAGACGACGAGGACGAGGAGGACGATGGCAAGGAGAGTGCAGCAACAGCAGCAGAAGCTCCTCCTCTTCTTCTTTAGTGGCCTCGAGGGGGCTACCTGGATGGTGGGCCGTTCGCCGGTGCTATCGCTCTTCTCCAACGCTGCTAAGCTGGGAGTAGCCGGTGGTGCTGACGGCAGTGGAGCTTCGACGTCCATCGGATGGATCCTCTGTTGCTCGGCCATGTCTCCACCTTCGAGTGTTGGGCAGCCGATACGATCGGATTGCAGCTCGAAGTCGTCCTTCAGATATGTCTCCGCGGATGATGGGCTTCGGATAGGTACACATCTACACGATGAATGGAGTTAGCGGATTATTTAGGATTCTTGTTCTGACGCTGTTGGAAACTATGTTAAATTTTATATTTAATTAAAAATATAATTTAGAATTAAAAAATTAATTTAATAGTATTTATTGTTTGGAAATTGATCTACAAAGTTTGATAAAATAGGAGGTTCAATAAATTGATCCATACTCACAAGCCAAATATTTGTTGAGAGAGAAGACAACTCATCTCTCTCTCTCTCTCTCTCTCTCTCTCTATATATATATATATATATATATATATTTATATTTATATTCTTTAAATTAAAAAAAAACACTGTCATCAATTTTGAAAATGATGCAAGTATAACACAAAAAAGAAAAAACTTGCTTTGCATCAAAATTTCAATGCTTATAGGGAATGAATGGCAGACTGACCCTATCAGTATGCCTCATAGAACCCACCCGAGGCTATTACTTCAGCATCTGACCTTCGCCAGGGGATTCAATATACAGATCAAGTGCTTTCCAGGCAAGCAGGCTCGATCAAAAGGCTACTGCAGTGTGTCCTCCTCCTTTAACAGGTCGCATAAATAAATCCAGTGCTTTAACATGGTGGCCTGCCATGAACATTAATTGACCAGCTTTTGGACGATGGAATTAAACATAACAAAATAACACCACTTCATCTTGATAATCTTCCATTTGGGTGACCAGTAACTTAAAAGAAGGCTTTTAAGTTTTTTTTATTGTTAAAACGTACATTGAATTATTTGTTAACATATTCAGCTTGAGATTATGGTTATCCAATCATCGGATCATGAATTAGAATCATGCATCTATCCTCTTTCTTAATGTTTAGTTAAAAATATTTATGTAACATCCCTTTTTATTTGGGCTTGTCGAGCTTGACTGACTTATTCTTAAGACATATATTAGACCATTTCTAAGAGAAATAAGAATAAGAGAGACTTATTCTTATTTGGGCTTGTCGAGTAAGATTTATAAAACGATATAATAATAAATTTATTAAGATATAACATCTCTCTTATACATAAATTAGTTGGGTTTGATGGGTGTGAGTGTAAGAGAAGGTAATATCATCTTTTTTTATTAGGGTTAATTATATATTATCTTTTTTTAGTTGGACCTCTTAACATCTCAAT